CCCGCCCGCGTCATGCCGAGCCTTCCGGCCCCGCCGGCCCCGCGGCTGCTCCTCGGGCTGCTGCTGCTCGGCTCCCGGCCGGCCCGCGGCGCCGGCCCCGAGCCTCCCGTGCTGCCCATTCGCCCCGAGAAGGAGCCGCTGCCCGTGCGGGGCGCGGCAGGTAGGTGGCCGCCCGCCCGAGTCCGCGCCCCCGAGGGCCCGGCGCAGGTGGCTCGGCGCGGCCGGCGGGCGGGAGGTGCGCGGGGCTGGGACCGGGCTGCGCGGCTGGAGCGGGACAGCGGCCACCACCAAGCCCGTCCCCGCAGGCTGCTCCTTCGGCGGGAAGGTCTACGCTGTGGACGAGACGTGGCACCCGGACCTGGGGGAGCCCTTCGGGGTGATGCGCTGCGTGCTGTGCGCCTGCGAGGCGGTGAGCGGACCGCGGGCTCGAGCCCTGCAGCGCGGGGCAGGGCCGCTGGGGGAGCGAGGGGCTCCGAAGGGGCGGCCCGCGGGCGCAGGAAGAGGGGCGCCCCTCGGAGGCTCAGGTGTTGACTGCTGCTGATCGCAGCGGCGTATCCGGGCAGCCAGCCGCCGGTAGCCCTCCCGTCGCGATCCTGCTGGATAGATGCCATTACGTCCTCGACCCCAGACGGGACCTGAGGCCCAGAGAGGTTAAGTCACCTGTCCAGGGTCGCACACACCCCCTCTGACTCTGTTGAACGACCCTGTCCCGGTTCCTAGTCCCCTTCTCTCCCTGGTCTGACCATTTGAGATCTTGCACTCACTTGATTTTTCCGCGTTCTCCGCGATCAGCCTCAGTGGGGTCGTCGCGGGAGGGGCCCTAGCAGGGTCAGCTGCAAAAACATCAAGCCCGAGTGCCCAAGCTTGGCCTGCGGGCAGCCTCGCCAGCTGCCAGGACACTGCTGCCAGACCTGCCCCCAGGGTAAGGACGGCTCTGCGGGCTGGGCCGCGATTCCGGGTCCTGGGCCACTCGGACTGGGGCGGCCTGCTGGAGCCAGAGCATCTCTTATCCCTGGTCCAGAGCGCAGCGACTTGGAGCAGCCGCCACCAAGCCTGTCCTTCGAATATCCGAGGGACCCTGAGCACCGCAGTTACAGCCACCGCGGCGAGTCGGGGCCCGAGGAGCGCGCGCGCGCCGACGGCCACTCGGGTGGGTGGGCGGGGGCCGAGGGGTGGGGTCGTGGCCGGGGCGGGCCGCTAGCCGGGGCTGACAGTGCCCTGGCCATCTCCCTCCCCTCGTAGACTTCGTGGCGCTGCTGACAGGGCCGAGGTCGCAGGCCGTGGCACGTGCCCGGGTCTCGCTGCAGCGCTCTAGCCTCCGCTTCTCCATCTCTTACCGGCAGTGAGAAAGGGGAAGGAAGGAGGGAGGCGTGGTGAGGGTGGGAGGAGAGCCCGGAGCGGAGGGGCGGCCTCACTGGACCTCTCCTTCCCAGGCTGGACCGCCCCAGCCGGGTCCGCTTCTCAGATGCCACGGGCAGCGTCTTGTTTGAACACCCGGCAGCTCCCACCAGAGACGGCCTGGTGAGATGATGCCATTTACGAGCGCTTATCCAGTATGGGCACTGAGCCTGCTGAGAGCAGGCTCTGCACTGCTGCCCTGGTCCTCCAGGCGGCTCAGGGGAGGAAGGCGCTGACATTATGGGGCCCATTTTACAGATGAGGGAACTGAGGCTCAGTAGCAGAATGTGATTTGTCCAAGGTCATGCACCTAGTAAGTGGCACAGCCAGGGTTTGAGCCCTAGCATCTGGCTCCAGGCCCCTTCTTAAGCCTCTCTGAGGCATCTTCGCTCACCAGCCCTGGGTCTCTCAGCTGGCCAGTCCTGAGTACTGAGTGTGGGCCTTGTCTCTCTGCTCCAGGTCTGTGGGGTGTGGCGGGCGGTGCCTCGGTTGTCCCTGCGGCTCCTTAGGGCAGAACAGCTCCATGTGGCACTCTTGACACCCACTCACCCCTCAGGGGAGGTCTGGGGGCCTCTTATCCGGCACCGGGCCCTGGCTGCAGGTAAGGGGAGCACAGAGCCTTTGCACATGGACCTTGGTGGGCTGAGGAGGGGATTTTTTTGATGGGCTGTCACTGTCTCCCTTCCCCCAGAGACCTTCAGTGCCGTCCTGACTCTGGAAGGCCCCCAGCAGCAGGGCGCAGGGGGCATTGCTGTGCTCACCCTCAGCGACACGGAGGACTCCTTGCATTTTCTGCTGCTCTTCCGGGGGCTGCTGGAACCCAGGAGTGCAGGTAGGTGGGTGGGGAGAGGCGGGAGGAGGTGGGGAGGGTGCGGCCTCTCAGAAATGTCCGCACGTGTGGCCGTTGCAGGACCAGCCCAGGTTCCCGTGAGGCTCCAGATTCTACACGAGGGGGAGCTGCTGCGAGAACTCCAGGCCAACACCTCAGTCCAGGTGAGGCAGGGTCCGGCCCTTGCTGTCATCTGGTCTGGCCTCTCGCTGTTGCCCACTATACCCTGGTCTGTCCCCAGGACCTGGGCTTTGCTGAGGTGCTGCCCAGCCTGACAGCACAGGAGATGGACTGGCTGGTGCTGGGGGAGCTGCAGATGGCGCTGGAGAGGATGGGCGGACCAGAGCTGCGCATCAGTGGGCACATTGCTGCCAGGCAGAGCTGCGATGGTGAGGTGGACTGGGGCCTGGCACCACAGGTGCACAAGACCAAGAGGCACAGATAGAGGCTGGGGGCTTGGGGGATGCATGGGCATGGAACAAGCCTGCGGCCACCTGTTTTGACCCTCTGCAGTCCTACAAAGTGTCCTTTGTGGGGCCGATGCCCTGGTCCCTGTTCACACGGGTGCCGCCGGCTCCGCCAGCCTCACACTACTAGGAAACGGCTCTCTGGTCTACCAGGTAGAGTCAAGGGCTGCACGAGGTGGAGAGGGCAGCGGGACAGGGCCCCGGGGCTTTGCTGCCTTTCCAATTCGCCCTACCTTCCCCTGGCCACCAGGTCCAAGTGGTGGGTACAGGCAGTGAGGTGGTGGCCATGACACTGGAGACCAAGCCTCAGCGGAGGAATCAGCGGACTGTCCTGTGCCACATGGCTGGACTCCAGCCCGGAGGACACAGGGTGAGAGCTCCAGGCAGAGCTGGGCCCCAGGGCCCATGTGCCAGGGATGCTGAAGCATGGACGATGGGAAAGCAGGGATGTGCAGTGTCATTCGCTTTCTCTTGGGCTCTCTCATGGACTCACATGACACATTTTTAGTGACCCTCAGACTGGGGACGGGAGTTCAAAGACCATCGGATGTGGCCCCTGCCTTCAATAAGCCACAGTTAGTTTATTTGAGACAGAGTCTCGCTATGTTGTTCAGGCTGGCCTTGAACTCACTCTGGTCCTCCTGACTCAGCCTCCGGAGTGCTGGGATTACAGGCCTGTGCCACCATGCCCAGCTCAGCATGCTACAGTTAAACGGGAGGAGTTAAACCGGAGGAATAGTGCCATAGACTGTGTAATAATCAATATGTTAGCAATGATTGCTACTTTCTCTGTTTCAGGTAGCTCAGTGTAGAGTGCTGGCTTCTGCATGAGGCCCTGAGTTCAATCCTCAGTACAGTGGCGGGGAGAGGAGGCGGTGTATTGGTTACCTTATTTTGCCTTTCATAGTACCCATTTTATAGACAAGGGAGTGAAGGACCAGAAAGTTTGAATAGCTCTTCAAGGTTGTTATGCAGCTAGGAAGGGGCAGAGATAGGACTTGATCTAGAAAGTTCTTTACTAGTGTTAGGTTGTAGGGAGGTGTGTAAGGGTGTAGTGAGGACACAGAACGTGGAAAGCCTCAGAATGGGGGCTGTGTGAAAGCTGAGGGCCTTGTTCATCCTTGTCCCCCAGGCTGTGGGAATCTGCCCTGGGCTGGGTGCCCGAGGGGCTCATATGCTGCTGCAGAATGAGCTGTTCCTGAATGTGGGCACCAAGGACCTTCCGGACGGAGAGCTTCGGGGGCATGTGGCCACCCTGCCCTACAGTGGGCACGGTGCTCGC